AGGCAGGGGAGGGGGAGCTGTCAAAGGGGAGACAGCTCAGTAGGCTTTGAGATATACAGGCAGAAAAGCAAGGATGGAGTTGCCTGGGCAACCATCACCATGGAAACAGCAGCTATTTCTGAAAGTCAGCTTGCTTTTTATTGGATGAGATCACCTGTTTTAACAACAGGGGCCCTTCACCTCCCTACAGCACCCCTGAGGGTTGGGGAGTGGGGGAGGCTTCTGTCTCAGTGCCTGCAGCGCCTCCTGCTGGAGCCGGCCAGTGCTGGAGTGGCTATGAGGTCCCCGAGAGGCTGCCACAATTTGTAGAGCTCTCTAGAGTCTCCTCAAAAAAGCGGCTGGATGGTGAGCTGTGGTCTCCAGGCCCCAAGTAGTTCATTTGATGATTATGGGGAGCCCTGTTACCCCAGGCTAAACCCAGGCAGCCAGTTTGATGCAGGCTGGATTAGGCTGGGATACTACTCGCACCAAAACAGACAGCACAGCCAGGTGCACGCTAGACTTATATGGCAATTAAATCGAATTAGCTGAGATTGTTCTGAGAAAAAGTGTTAATCCAAATAATTCACAGGTACCTAATGCAGGACACTGAACTTGGCTGTCTGTAAGGTCTGGATTTGACGTGGCACAAGAGGCTTTGATGCAAATCAAATCAGTTGTCTGTTTTTAGCCCCAGAGACTAGGAAAAGAGAGCTTGTGTCAGTTGGCCATGTCGTGCTGTCCCCTACGCACCCCTCCTGGGAGACCAGGTACTGTGATAGTTATGATCTCCTACCCCAGCTACTGTGCCTGAACCAGACCTCACTATGCCACCTGCTGGGGCAGTTGATGCTGACAGACCTGTGAATCATACAGGAGAGGACAAAGATATCCTCAATAGTATTGGTACGGGTAAAAATTATGCTAGGTATAATCCAGCATCCCATACTACCACAGGAGAGAGGGAGGGATACCAGGGAAGATTCTCTAGTGCATCCCCTGAAGGAAGCTTGAGACTCACTGACACCAGTCGTGTGTCAAAGGACACCGGGGACACAAGAAACAGCAGCAGAGTGTCACCCACTAATGCAAGGACTGCATTTGGCCCCATTAATTTTCTGCAAGTGGATGCAGGATTTTGATGAAGGTTAGGATCTTCTGGAAGCCACTTGAACATCTTCACACTCCCTGCACTACACTATTGTATTGACATAAGACTGCTGCCATGAAGCACCCCAGAGGTGGCTGCATTTTGAATGGGGGGGGTGCAGAAATCCCAATCCATGCTGTTTGGGATAGGGGGATAAGCTTAATGTGTAGTACACTCAAAACCATTTACTATTTTTGCTGACACTACACCGCATATGCCTGCCACCAGGATCATCACAGTGACAGGTGTTAGAACTTGTCAATCTCTGCCACTTGATCTCATGGAAAATCTCCATTACAGGTTAGCAGTACAGGGCTTACACTACAGAACACAACAGTTCTAGTTCCCTCCACAAATGGACAGTGACACAAATACAGACACGCTGACTCATTCCAGTAGCACGGAGTGATGCAGCTGCTCTGAAACTGGCAGGTCTAGTTCTAGTGAGAGCTAGAAGTGCTGAGGCCTCAGCAGGGACTGCAAAAGTACTAGGCTAGAGAAGATGCAGGCCCCCAAGCCAGTCACTGATGTCCTGGGTGGATCCCCTAAGCCATTGCGTCTCCTTCAGCATCTCAGACCTGTCCACATTCAGGCTTGCAGAGTGGGTGACCTGCCAACTCCTCACAGGGAGGGAGCACCCACTACTTGTATGGCAAGAGTGACACAAATGGCTGCTGTCTTGATGTAGCCTGTCCTTTCCTTAACCCAGAGGATCAGAGCATGGCAGCAAGTGGGGGAGGAGGGAGGCCAGGGGCAGGGCGGCCCTGAGGCAAATCACCAACCTCCCCATTCTCTACAAGAGAATGACCAGCCCCTGCCAGCCAAGAGAAGGGCCCAGGGAAGAGGCCAAGCGCTGAGAAGGGGTCCTACCTTCCAGTCTGTGTCCACTGCTGAAAGGAAGGCATCCGAGTTCTCCTGGAAGAGAAAACACCGCAGAGAGACATTAGAGCTTGCACAGGCCCCAAGGTGGAGCAGCAGCTCCCTACACCTTGTTACCTCCTCTTCCCAGCTCCTTATAGCAGAAGCTCTGGGGAACCCCCAAGTGTCCATATGTCCCCCGCCTCACTAGACCCCAGAAAGAGGGATACTTGGACTGGGACCAGAGACATTGAGCAGGGGAGCTGTGAGGTGTTCCCTGCATTGTGTTCTCCAAGGTTTCATCTCTCAAGCCACAAAGCTCTCTCTGCTCAAGGCGGGAGACTGCTCCATGAGTTGGAGGGTCTCCCAGCTGGTTTATTCCCATATGCTTCCTGTTACACCCCTGTAGTGCAACAGAAGGACACCGCCTGTCAGGGACAGCCTCCGGTATCAAACCAACGCTGTCCGAGTCTGTGACAGCCAGTCCAGATTAGCAAGATTCTGCACTCTGACACAGGGAACGTGAGTCCATTACTCCCCCAGAGAATAAGTTAATAAATAGACTGAGATGAGCTGGGAAGGAGCTTGGGCTCCCCAGGAAAGAGACTACTTGGAACTGGGAGCAGCAGAGAGACAGAGAGTAGACATCTCAACTGAGAAGCCTTGGGAGAGAAGAGGGGCATAACTGAATGGGCAGCAGAGGGAGGTACACAGCATCTCCACACAAGACACCACATTCACAAGCAGGGCTTGGCCGAGCAGCATGGCATGGAGTGTAAAGATCATTGCCACCAGAAAGAGGGTAGGAACGAGAGGGAGGGGGCAAGGAAGGGAGAAAGGGAACCCATGGCCAACACACAGATGAAAGAGACTGACAGACACACCCATAGCCCAAGGGTGCATTTACGCTGAATCCCACTCGCATTGCCTCTACCTCCTGGGACCCAGGTTGCTGCCTCTGGCCCATTCCACTTTAGAAGGGCTGGCAGCTGTGCATAAATGTCACCCTGTATAGTCATGGTGATGGATGCCATGTCTCAACACCAGGACTGAACTAGAGATTTGAGCCTTGAGTTAAAACTCTCTAGGTGTCCTTCTCTCAGACCCTCATATCATCTGACACAAAGGGAGACCTCTAGTATATGCATGCATCCACGCATACACACACACACCTGGTGGCAAGGAATTCCACACTTTAATGACACGCAGTGTGAAAAAGAACTTCCTTTTGCTGGTTTTAAACTTACTGCCTGCTAATTTCATTTTATGACGCCTAGGTTCTTGTATTGTGAGAGATAATAAATAGTAAAACACACATGCACACGTGTGCACACAAACACACACACAAAGCAGGGGACATACATATTCCATGAGCTTGCATCCATACAGCAGTGTTTCAGTATTTGCACACCTTCCCACCCAGAAGTTATACAAGTGTTTCACACACTTAGGTCTCTATAGTGGTAACCTGGCACACACACAATCCATGTGTCTGCATTTGAACAGCAGTATCTTGAACATGCATGCCCATGTTCTGTATTCTCTCCCCTATACTCCAGCACCTGGGCACTTGCCCACTTTTAGATGCGTCTGTATGTGTGCACCTGTGTGTGTGTGCGCGCATGTCTCCAAAGCAGCTTCTAGATGCAGCCAGAAGAGATGCCACCCTAGTTGGGTTTCTCCTGTGGGAGCTATGTCTCCTTGTCATGCCATGTCATCCATTATTGACAAAAGGTCCACATACAAGATACAGAACTGAATGGTAGGTCTGCCTGGGAACATGGGTACAGACAGTCAGGCTCAGGGGCACAGGCAACCAGCAAAAGAAAGAGGAGAGAGAGCTCAGAAAATCCAGGAGAGGGAACTCCGACATGGACTAATTCAAAGTAGGAACTGTGCTGATCCCTTCGACAGGGGACCTTGTCCCCTCACCTGCTCCAACACAACAGTCAGAATCCCAAGTGTTGCTCCTGAACAGTCAGAATCCCAAGTGCTGTCCATTGCATCCTTCCCTGGATGGAAAGATTTCCACAGAACACAAAGCAGAGCCAAATGAAATGTTTAAAAACAATGTTTCAAAAATATTCCACACTGAAACAGTTTGCAATTTCTATTCCATAAAAAGAACCTGAGATTTTGACTTGTTGCCTAAGTCAGAATGAAGAACAATTTTGAAATGTCAGGATTTCCTGTGGAATAGAAATTCTCTTCCCCGATTTCAGAAGACCACATTGAAAAATCATGCAGACCATATTTCTGCTGCAGAAGAGATAGGCCCAAAATGGCTGGAAAAGGGTCAGGTCCAAAACGGCTGATCCAACTGTTCCTGCACCATAGGGGCATTCTTCACTACCCCATCCCTGCATAACCAGTTTTACCTGGGAAAGCAGCAGCAATCAGAACATCAGAAGCTCACAGGTAGAAGCAATTGCACAAGGGGGAAGGCTGATATGAATCAAGCCCACACATCCTCAAGCCCACACATCCAAAAGGGAAAAGGGGCTAGAAGCAAATTGGATCCAATTGACTGAAAGTAGTGATGGTTCCAGGTTGCAAAGGATCCGAGAACAATTTGAAGACCACATGCCCTTGTAGACCCTGAAATACAGCACCTCTTGGCCAAGGGCATGTGGCCAGAATTTTTCTCTTAGAAGATAAAGTAGGTTATACTGGATATCAGGACAAACTTCTTCACTATTGGAACAATGAGGCAATGGAACAGATTCTCTAGGGAAGTTGTTGACTCTCCATCATTGGAGCTGTTCAAGAAGTGGTTGGATAAGCATTGGTCAGGGATGATCTAGGTGTAGCTATGGCTATTCTGTGTTATGGTATTTCCCATGCTTCTGGGCTTTGCTGCTTTTTGACTCCAGTTGCTCCACATCAAGGTTGGGGTTTTTTTTTTTGCTTTCCTCAGAAGCATTGGGTGTTGGATACAGCAACAGTTGGGGATTTTGACTGAGGTCTGCCAATGCTTCTGCAGGAACCAAAACCCAGAAATTCCTAGCTAGAGGATCTTGCCCCTCTGCTGAAGGTCAGACCAAGCACCAAAATTTAGGGTCAGAAAGGAATTTTGCCCCACTGTCAGCTTGGTACAGACTGTGGGAGTTTTTCCTGCCTCTGTATCAGAGGGTCAAGGTCCTCTTCCTTGGACTTCTCAAATATATTTTAACCCCTGCAGTAGCAAGATACTATCCACCTCCTTTCCCTGTGGCAGGTTAGTGTGTTTTGCTTTGTGGCTGTGTTAGGATGAACTGAAGTTTTAGCAATAGGTAAGACAAGGATTTGTACAGGATGATTTGGACAGGGAAGATCCTGCTTCAGGCAAGAACTTGGACTAGACCTCCCTTCCATCCCTATTCTTCTGTAGCTCTATGATTTCCAGTGCCCTCCTGAAGTGGGCAGCGTACCACCTCCTTGTGATGGATCCCCACAGAGCAAGTCTCCACCACAAAAGGTGGCAGGGTCATGTTCAACATCCTGACACTGGGAACCTAAAATGCCAGGAAGTTCCGATTTCCAAGAGCCTACCTGGGCAGTAGATCAGCCCACAAAGGAACCATACAGTTAGATGAGTGCAGGGCCTGTGTGTTGTGCCCCAAGATGTCTCTTGTTTGAGACATGATCTGTGCAACACTGGGTTCTTCTGGCCATCTGCCCATCCCACCCTAAACAGCCTGCACAAAGAAATCAGCTGGCTAATCTCCATTATAGACACTCCCCAGACTCCTCCCTGCTCCTTCTCTAGTCCCAGACAAAGCAGTGTCTGTCTGGTTCCAGACGTTACTTTCCTCCCACTCAGCTATTACACAAAGGGTGCCACACTGAGGTTTTGAGTTTCAACCCCCACGGTCTGATTTCAGGGAAAGGGAACGGGAACTCAAGTCCCTGTGATTAGTGCTTTGCTCCCTATGCCTGAAGAAGGGTGTTTGTGCCTGAAAGCTTGCAAAGAACAAATTTTTCCAACTATTTAGTTGGTCTAATAAAAGACCAACTATTTATTAAAGACCAACTATTTAGCTGGTCTTTTAATAGTTTCCAACTATTTAGTTGGTCTACTAAAAGATCATTTACCCAAAGAACCTTGTCTGCCTATGTCCTTACACCAGCACGGCTACAACCATCACCCTTGCTCTCACAAAGGAAGGCAAAGGATAAGCAGGGTGGATGGGTCACCATGCATCACCCCTCTGACTGAGTCTGGATCACCACTGAGACACCGAATGGAATCAAGGCTGCTATGGCTGGGTGGAAGGGAGGGCCTGGGGTAGCTAGATCACACCCATCATGCATCATTTGTCACTTCAGAGCCTACTGCCCAGCTGGGCACTCTCCCATCATTTCAAAGACCCAGGCTTGGAGCCACACCCAGGTGGGCAGGGAAGGCACCAAGAATAGGTAGGTGCTCAATCGCTGAGCACAGACCAGTTGTACCAGATACTCCTCCTTTTGGATGATACAGGCTCAGCATTTAGCCACAAGATGTCACTCTTGCTGCTCACAAAGCAGATAGGGGATGATTCTGGAGTGGCAGCTCAGGCAGGCAGAGGCTCCTAGTGTCTGCAGGTGCTGTCCAAGCCAGGAAGATGAAGTACCTTGAAACCAATCTTCAGCTAAGGCCCAGTTGCATTAGTCCAATGCCCTGCAGTTTCTTTCCAGTACAGACCCGTATTGCAACATTAGCTCAGAGGTTCAAGGTGCTACCCAAGCATGTATGCTGGGTTCTGAATCAGCCAAAGGCCCCTGTTCCCAGTAACAGTGCTGGGCACTTTGCAAGTGGGGTATCAGGGTGTCCCAGAATACATTGGAGCAGTCACGATTACAACAGGATATGGTGTGCGACATGGACACCCATTGATTCGGAGTTGCACACACACCCACCCACCCACACAGAACTCAATTGCTTGCATCTGAGCTACAGGAGAGCTCTCCTAGCTAGCAGCAGTAGTAGGTTCTTTATCTCTCGCAATGGGCTGAGTAGGACCATGCTCATGCATAAGGCCGTACACTACAGGCACTCAGGCAGTTCAGCTGCACCCAGGACTGCTATGTGCAGGCATCACACTTAGACAAAGACAAAGCAAGGTATATAGCCACTCCCTGCAGTCCACAACCCCAGTGTTTCCCTGCTTGCTTAGCACCACTGACTGGAAGGGGTGAGGGTGTAGGTCAGACAATGACAGAGGGGAGAGGAAGACAACCCACTCACCAGCTCAGTGTCCTGCCCACGCAGCAGCGGCTTCTCCTCGGTGAATCGCAGCTCATGCAGACCTGCCATGGTCACTTCCTGGAGCAAAAGCCCTGCAAGGGGACAAAACACAGTACATACATCAGTGCCCTGGCATCCAGCCTGTTGGGACCGCAGAACCCTTCAACCTGAGCTCAGGGATGGAGCAGCAGAGGACAGCTGCATAGGGAAGCAACCTGCTTAGCTTCCCCCACTCTCCAGGGATATGTAGCTTGACTTAGCCTCGCAGGTGAGTGGGAAGCTCAGGTAAAATGCCAGATGCGCTGGTTGGGAGTATGAACCATATGTAACTGCTGACCTTGCCTGGCTCCCAACTGCAGGTTTTAAGCAGCCTTGCACTGCCCTGGAAGGTTTCTGACCTCACTGAGCAAAGCCTGAGCTCTGGGTGAGCCAGGAGACCACAGGAGTTTCACTTTCTTAGCCTACCTCTCTCAGATTAGTGGCTAGCCCCATCCCACAAGCTGCTGGGTAGCAGTAACCTTTAGACCCATTGCCATGTCAGTCAGCAGGGCCATTTACTGTTTGTATTGCAGGAGTAGCTAGAGGCCTTATCTGTAGACCAGGAGCCCATCATGTTGGGCATTGGTCACACTATGAACAAAAGAACAACCTCTTCTTCAACAAGGTCCTGCTCTTTTGTTTACTGAGTAAACAGATTTACACTGTGCAAAAGATCTTAGTAATGGGAGACAGGGGAAGTGAAGGGGGCTCTTTCTGTGTAGCACCTGAGAAAAGAAAGACTTAAGGTAGCGATGCTGCCCACATGAACACCAGCTCCCTGCTGGGCATCAGGCCCTGCACATTCACTCCCACTCCATGTGCTTAAACTCAGCAATTAGACAGCTTGAGCACACACCCCAACACCACACTTGGGCTCCCCCAAGACAGGATCCTGAGAGCAGCTCTAAAGATGTGCATTCAGAAACCGACTAAGCCCCCTCCTCTGCCTAACAGCTGGGCCTGGGTGCCTATGGAATAGGACTGAGCAGGTAGGACTTGGGGTTAGTAGCGGTCCTACTCAGCAGAGGCAGCACAGGCAGCACAAACCCACTCAGTCCTGACCAGCTCAGGAGTCAGGTGGGTGGTCAGTGATAATCCAGGAGCCACAATAGTCTCTACAAGCATCTACTCCTGCTCCTACTGGGACAAGTAAGGACTTGGACCACAGTTGACAGGGACAGACAGCACATGCATTGCATTATTCAGCATTGCAGCCCTGCACAAGCAGGGAAAGGAAAGCTTTGATGCCAGCTTCAGGGAAAGGTGGTGAAAGTACCGTGGCTTGGAAGCTGTGCTCTGAGCATCACCAAGTTAAGGAGAGGTTGCCAGTCTTGAGCTTCCTATCTCAGCTGCACACAGCACTTCCTTCCCCAAGCTGTTTGCAAACCAGTCACTGCAACCCATTGCCGAAACACAGCCACCTCTGGCAAGCTCAGCTCAGCCCCGTGTAACTGTTTACGACTGATGTCTCAGCCCTGCATAACTGTTTATGACTGATGTAAAGGAGACAGTAGCCACCGACAGGGATGCAGTATGTGCACGATCCGTGCTGGCATTTCAGGGTAATGCCCTGAAAGAGTCACACAGAATTGTGACTACATGCAACTTCAGAGGTCATTCCTGCATCCTGCAGCATAGCACCCCTTGCACTGCCTTGAGAGCCTGGTTCACAGCAGACAGATGGAAAAACACTCCATATGGAAGGACCACGGAGGTGTCCCCTCTAAGGGCTACTCCTGCTTTGGTTGGGACATCTGACAGGCCCAAGATGCCACTGCACACAGTGGAGGGCAGGGCCAAGTCTGGTGGTTCCCAAGAGAGAAGTCACCTGTCACCCTGATCACCACATAAAACACTGAGCCAAACCTCTAGCTAAGAAAGCCTCAGGTTCAATCACACAAGCTTCTTCCTCAGGGGCACCACCACTAGAGCTGGAGACAGTGTTCCACTTCCCACAGAAACCTGGAAGTTAGAGTGCAGACCAGGTAGGAGAAACAGAGATTCAAGGTAGACCAGGGGCTTCATCTTTAGCCTCCCACTTCCCAAGAGAGTACATGACTCACTGAAATACACCCCTCAGAGACTCCATGCCAGAGTGAAGAAACCTTTCCTGACAAAAGCTTTCTTTGCAACCACAAATAACTACCGTTTTGATGGAATCAATACTTTGCAGAGAGAAACTCTGTTGTCAGAAAATGCCTGACTGGCCCCAAATTTAGCCCAAGCTCAGAGCACTGCCTTGGCAGGGGATTTCACAGCCCACCTCTGCCTCCACGCAAAACCCAAGGAGGCTGCTAAGTGTCTGCACTGCTATATATTCAACATGCTCCGTGCACAGACAAGGCCCAACCAGCCACCAGCTTTTACTCTCTCTTACTTCCCTGGAGAGGCGTCAGACAGGAAAGATTAATTAACTAATTTGCAGCAGACAGTGGGTTACTGGGCAGGGCAGCGACAGTCTCTTTGTTTAAGGCATGGTGCCCTTGTTTGGGATTATGGGGCATTTGCTCATTAACTTTCCATTGTATTTCTGCACCAGACTCATTAGCTCATCGATGGGCTGCCCTGGGGAATGAGCATAGAGCAGAAGACAGCATTTCCACTCTGAATCTGCTACAGAAACCATCCTTCTCACTAGTCTCAAGCTTCTTGGAAGGGCAAGATGACTATACAAGTCTTGCTTTGTCACCAGGTCCAGGCTGGGCAATGGATCTGGCAGAGCTATCTCCTTTGGAAGCATATGGCAGGGTCTTAAGGGATTAGTTACATAGGAAATCTTTACCAGTAATACTGTCATAGCTGCAGCAGCGCAATCAGGGGGAGTTGAAGGGGGGATGCAACTGCACCCTCCACAATCCCTTTCCTGGATCTGCTATGTATAGTTTCACAGCATCTGATGTAGTGAGTTTCAGCTCACAAAAGCTTGTAATACATATATAGCTACTTTGGTTAGTCTATAGGGGATAAATCTACCCTACTTTCTATATGTATAGTTGTACCAGTGTATTTTAACTGCTGTAGTTATACCAGTTCAAGTTCCTGTGTGGACACTCTGAACACATCTAAACGTGGACGTTTGGTTCCCAGGGGACAACTAGCAGTGGCACACCTGGGCCGCCGCTAGTTGTCCCCAGGGAACATACGTACCACACGCTCTCTGGCATGTGGCAGGTTACCCAGCAGCCTTATCTGGGGTCCTAGCAGACTCCCAGGACTGCAGCAGCAGTGATCCTGCTGCTTGGAGCCTGGCCAGCAGCCGGGGTATGGCTCCAGCCGGCCAGATGCTAGTTCTGAGTGCCTCATGCTGCCCCCACGTGCACCACTCAACTTTTTTTGGGGGGGGAAGGTTTTTTGACCCTTGGATCATAACACCCCCCTACCCCCACTATGCTCCCTTGAAGTGCAGAGAACAGCTAAATGTGTAGTATAAGCACGGCCACACTCATCTGGACATGGCTTCTTAGTGTAGTTTTATACCAAAAATTCTCCCCATGTGAATTTACTCTAGTGGTTTAAACATACACCTCTGTTTACACTAGTGTAACTTTCCTATGCATCTCAGGAGGATTAGTGTCAGTGCAGTCACTGTCCTGCCCCTATTGGAGAGCTGTCCCCATCGACCTGTCCCCATCTATCCTATTGAGTGTGACTGGTGACATCTCTCAAGAGAGGCCCAGGACTGGGAGCAGGAAAGAAGTCATGGGCAATGGGACAAAATCCAGAGCTCTCAGAGCTGGAAGCAGGCGCAAATCCAGTGAAGTCAGCAGTCGTGGGCCAGGTCTGACTTTGGTCCTGCGTCTGGCTGGAGGAGAGTGCCATCCAAGAGCCGAGAGAAGAGGTATCTTTTACTATGTCTCTTTATCAAAGCCACATAAGGGGCTACTTTCCAAGCCAGGCTTAGAAGCTGCAGACATATTTGATGAGTAAGTAACGCTGCTTCAGGAGACAGCAGAAATCAGGAAAACCCCAAGCAGCTGATGTGAGTGGGGAGGAGTGGACACTGATACCTGTTGCTCCCATGACACAATGTGTGTGCTCCAGCAATAACAAAGCTGAATCTACACAAAAGGGCAAATCCTCCTACTGGATGCCCCTGTACTGATGATCTTTGCAAATGGCAAAATGTGGGGACAGGAAACTAACTAGATCACATGGGTCAGGAGGCTTCTTTTTTTTTTTTTTTTTTTTTTTTTTTTTAATTTCTGCACCCACTAAACAGGGTTGCTGCTATAGTCAGAGATCCTGGTTTTCTCCGTTTAAAAATCGCAAATTCTCTGACGGGGGGCACTTTGAAGATTCTCTGATTAAAACCCCCCAATTCCATGTTTTTCGCAAGTAAAATGAAATGCCATATACATACACACACATATACACACACCAGCTGAACACAATATTTTGATATATTTACAATTTTAAAGAAGTTTGGAAGCCTACCAGTGCCTCAATCACTGTAACAAAATAAATTCTAAATACTGATAAATGCTGGTGTTTGATTTTGGGATTTTGAGTCCAGCTGCAGCTCTTTCCCCTGCTGCTTTGTGGCACTGAGCAGCCCTGATATGCCAGTGCCTTGCCCCTACTACTGCCCCTCACTCTCCACTCACAGCCCCCTACCTCCCTAGCACTGCGGGAGGGAGCCACCAGCTGCCAGGGCTACGTGACCAGGAACCTGGGTCCCCAGCCCCTTGCCCTGCACGGCAGTGCCTGAGCCCCGGATGCCGTCTGTGGGAGGAGGTGGATGCTGCCATAGAGCACAGAGCCCAGCCCCGCCACAGGCAGCACAGCCAGTACAGAGCCCATGGGGGGAGGGAGGTGGGGAAAAAAGAGGGGCATGTGAAAACTGCTGGCTGTGAGCTCGGGCTCCCTGTCCTGCTGCCCTCCCCCTGGCACCTCTGTGGCCCAGCGGGAGGGACCCAGTGTGGCAGGGCAGAACAGAACCGAGTGGGGAAGCTCGATGCCACCACTGGGAACCCTGCACCACCATGGCAAGGCATCCCCTGCTCAGCCAGCAGCAGCAAGGGGCACAACTCTGCACT